ATGAATATTATTTTCATCTACCTTTCACTAGAACCTATATTTATATTAAACCCAAGAAAAGCCCTCCTCTACATATTTATTATATACATTCTTCTTCCTTGTCTACGCCGGCTGACCCTTCTCTTTTTTCCTGGTGCTTTGCTTAATCGCTTATTCGACTTCGCTTCTTTTCGCTCTCTCTCTCCTCTCTATCGTACTGATCATTCCTGTGTCTCCTCTTCATGTCCGTCTTACTCGTCTTCTCCTCCGCGTCTCCTTCTCTCTCTCTCTCCCTCGTCTCTTCCTCGTTCTCTCTGCTTGCTCCGCTCTTTATCGACCGCCAATAATTAGCACGTACTATGCAATGCTTATCGCTAACTTTGTGTGAGATTGTTAATCTCCTAGAGTGACGTTTTAAATCGATTTTGAAATACTAGTGAACCGAGTTATTCCTCGATTATTAGTATGGACATGCAAGGTCTGTTAGCGTCGTCTGCTTGTGTTCGGTTGAATACCGTTGGGTCTCTTGGTTATTAACGCTCTTTCAGGAAGGTCGGTCAGAAAAATGCGGGTCCAGGCAACGCCTAATAGAGCCCTGCTGAGAGGGACCATGGGGGCCGTGCCGGTGGGGAGAGCTCCGGGATTTTATCGCCAGTATATTTACATTAAGGAGTGCGGCCTTTGCATAATCAATTTCAGACTGTTTTTCTGCTAGCTCGCGGCTGGACACTCTGAGGTGGTGGTAGCTGTCCGGTTATTATTCACGTGTGTGGGTGAAACGTCGCCGCCTCATAACGTTGATTCGGAAAGCCTCCTTGTATTCTGCAGCACACCACTCTCAACAGAGCGAGGTGTTAGTAATTTTATCAAGATGGCAATCAACATGTGTCCCCCGCTGTGGCCCTACTATATATATATATATATATATATATATATATATGGCAGTACCCCTGTGATTCCGGTGGGCGGCGTTCTTCAAACGAAGCGAACGGCACGATGGAATTGCAAAACTTAGGAAAACATGCGTTCGGCCACGAGTCAGTAAGTTGGTAGCTCAGACATGAAAGACGTGTCGGCGGCGTGGGGTACCGTGGCACGCAGTAAATCATGCATGTATGCGAAGCGGATAAATTACCCGACATGTACAATTGACCAAATTGCATGTATTATGCATAGCTATGTATCGTACATAGTCGTATTTACGTGAATGTGTTAGTTGCCAGAGCTTCAACGAAATGACCGTTGACATCAATGAGGTAATAATTCTTACCTTATGCATTTGTAAAATGAACCGTCTACTGTATGACGATATCTCTTTAGCAAACCGAAGAGGCATGCCGATTCATTCTCTTTAATGATTCCCAAGTTCAAGAGAAAGAAAAGACGGCGACTACCTTCAGATTCGCCGGTGAAAAGTACAAGTGACTACTCGTCCCTGTTAACACCTTAGTGGCTTACCGTGCTTAGCCGTTCCTAGGGATCTATTAGGGATATACGTTGACAGCTCTTGTTTTGACACTGATGCCACCCTCTACATCTTTGACACAGCTTCCACACCTATCGAACACCATAGAATATTTTTTCTACAAAGAAGCACGTCAAATTTAATAATCTCCATCCGAGGCTATGGCAATCTCCACTTACAGAGACAAGCGTGCAACCGAAATAAACAATACTGACCAAATATTCTAAGCAAAAACATGTTATAGTGCACATAGGACACGTGGATGGTAGGGTGGATTAAGTTCATTCTATGTTATCATTTACCTGGCGATAACCGCATCTCATAAATGTAGGTCTATCGTATTTTAGTACTTTTGTTCATGATTTCATATAATCTTTACGATATAAATTTTAAACTGTTACATTTTTAATTTTAATTTTAATATTAATATATAAACGTCAGTCAAGCACAACTATGGTTTCTCATCCTTCGATATAGATTGACATGTATATATATATATACAGGCCCGTAGCCAGCTTTATATTGGGGGGGGGGTTCGTTTTTCAATGTTTGTAATTTGCTCGGCAAGGGCGTGTACAGGATTTG